ACCCGCGCTATTCGGCTCGAGATTTGGCGGAAAATCACGCCGTATAACGGCTAATTTTAGACATTTACAGAAACTTTGGATGTGTCAGATTTTGATGGCGCATTCATTAAACTGGAAGAAATTCAAGGGACCACATTTCCGTTTGTGATCTCCTTCATAGAAGCGGCGTAACGACCCGTTTCTTAGAAGATTAGTGACTTGGTATGAAAACTGGATTCTGTATAACAATACATATTATACGTTAAAGCCAAATGAAACTTCTATAACTTCAAAGCAGAGAATCTAACTCGAAGATCAAGCCATAAATTTCGCAGGATTGGAGGGTAAATTTATCTCACGAAATGATTCCTGGGAACGGTCAATTCAATCAATATATTCACAAGCTTCGTACATTTTGATTTGGCAATTATTGCTAAACTGAGGCACAACATATTAACCACTTATTGATTTTACGACTTAATATTAAATAATAAAACACCTTTATAATTAAACCTCAGTGAAAATTTTTTTTGTAATACCAAATACTACTGTATAATACATTTCAAAAATTGATTAAATGTTCCAAGTGCAAATTTAATAAATCTAATGAAACGATATAAATCCTGATGTAAATAAAGATATCAAATAAAAATATATTATAACAATAATTTATAACAATAATGCTCCCACACCGAACAGAGTTTCTGTAAGTTATTGTCAATTCAATAATTATGCATGTACAATTTATTGTTTCTTTTAATGATTAAAAAGATTAACGTTAAATTTTAATTAATTAATTTAGTAAATTACAGGGGTAAAACTCATTATTTGAACATTAGGCGCGTATAATAAAAGGCGTCGAGGCTAAACCAGCAATACTTTCGAGTCTTGCCGAATGGTATACTATCCGCGCCGTGTAAATGGAAATCAGCTAGGGAGGAAAGAGAGGTTCAAACCTTAAAAAAAATAAAAATCCAATATTCCAATTGGATTGGAATGTTTGTATGCCTGTCGCTTTTATGATTTTTTAAAATCTAGACTGCTTACTTTAATTAATATAATATTACTATTAGTATTAATATTACTAAAAATTGTTGTAACTTTCAACTTAAGTACAATAAAATCTACAATTTGTCAATGTGTTTATAAGTTATCATTGATTCTTTAGCTATACGAGAATTTCTGCAAACTTTTTATTGTTCATAAAATATTAAGTATAAAATAAACGAAATTTGGGTAGTATAAAGGCGTCGTGGCTAAAAGAGCAGTGTTATTAGTCTTGCCGAATGGTATATTTTCTGCGTCGTGCAAATGGAAACCAGCTGGGAGGAAGGGGAGGTTCAAACTTTTAAAAATACATAAAAATCTAATGTTCCAATTGGATTGAAATGTTGGTATGTCTGTCGCTTTAATGATTTTTTTTTAACCTAGACGTGGCTTACTTTTATTAATATAATACATTATTAAAAATTATTGTTATCTTCCACTTAAGTAATATCAACAATTCGTTAACGTGTTTATAAGTTGCCATTAATTCTTTAGATATTCCAGAATTTTGTTCAGTTAAAATATTAACTGTAAAATAAACCAAATTAGAGTAGTATAAAGGCGTCGTGGCTAAAAGAGCAATATTATGGGTCTTGCAGAATGGTATCACCGTGTTAATGAAAAATAAGTTGGTAAGAAAAACAGATTTTTTACCTATAAAAATGCAAATGCCAATCGCATTTGTGCGTTTTTCTGTCTGTCGGTTTAATGATGTTTTTTTAATATAGACGTTGTTTACTTCAATTGATATAAAATGTTAATAAAACGTATTGTATTACTTTCAATTTATGTAAAATCAAAATTTCGTCAACTTGTTTATAAGCTGTCATTAATTTTTCAGATATTCTTTTTTTGGTTCAATTAAATATTAACTATAAAATAAACCAAATTAGAGTAGTATAAAGGCGTCGTGGCTACAATAGCAATGTTACGAGTCTTGCAAAATGGTATAATTCTGCGCCGTGTAAATGGAAATCAGCTGGGAAGGAAAGAGAAGCTCAAACCTTTTAAAAATATATATAAATCCAATTTTCCAATTGAATTGGAATGTTTGTATACCTGTCGCTTTAATGATTTTTTTAAAATCTAGACAGCTTACTTTCATTAATATAGAATATTATTAACAATTATTGTTCCTTTCAACTTAAGTAAAATCAACAATTCATCAACGTGTTTATAAGTTGTCATTAATTTTTTCGATATGCTAGAATTTCTGCAACTTTTTTTTGTTCAATTAAAGTATTAACTATCAAATAAACAAAATTATAGTAGATAAAGACTTCGAGGCTAAACCAGCAATGCTATCGAGTCTTGCCGGATGGTATACTTTCTGCGCCGCGCGAATGGAAATACGCTTGGGAAGAAAAAAGAGAACAGTATAAAAGCATTTAAAACTCCAATTGCTTTTACGTGTCTGTCATCTTCATGATTGTTAACTGAACATTTCATACTTTTAATATTATAAGCAATTGTTCTGTCCCTTTCAAGGTGTATAAATCAAAAATCTGTCAGCATGCCTATCAGTTGTCATTAATTATTTAGATACTCTAGACAATATTTCTACATTCCCCAACATTTTTTGTTCAATTTATAATTCTAATTACCAAATAAACTCATTTCGTTACACATCACGGTTAAACCAGGAATATTTATTTATACTTTTTGAGGCTGAAAATGGAAAACACGTTAAAAAATAAAAAAGATCCCTTAAAAAAAGTCATTATACACTTTGAATTAATTAAAGTATAATAATATTTCCAAAGAGTAAAACAGATTGTATTTTTTTTTAAATTGGAACAACTGTAAAGGATTAAAATATTACATTTACCATGAATTAAATTTAATTGGCTCTCAGCCATCATATCACTTAGTTTCAGTGAGAAATCACAGATTTTTTTCCACAACCACTCAGGTTAAAGCCAATAAATTTAAGAGGCCAAAGTAATCTTTTATTAGGTAAGTATGACCAATAGAAGTTTCTCAAACAAATCTATAATTGGTTTCATATATATAATNTATATAACTGTGACTTTAAACAAATTTGTTGTTTTACTTCCGCTAAAATGAGGATGTTTCAAAATGAAAAGGTTCAGCCAAAAAAGAAAAGTCTGAAAACATCATTTCAACAATTGATATTTTACAACAGTTTGGAAACATAAAACACGGTACAATGGAAAGAAAAGTGTTCGACATCTGGAAAGCATAAGGAAATAAATTATATTTCAGATTCGGAGATCGATGAGACCCATGAACAAATGTTTAGTTACAGAAACAGCATTAAAATTTTTCCTCTTATTAAATTAACTAGTTTTCGTGGTCCGCTTGACCAATTAATATCTTTCAATTAATTAAGGTTTTTACTTGAGATAGAAAAGTCAGTGTCACGAGTGGGATTCGAACCCACGACCTTCGGCTAGATACGCCGCTACTCTACAAAAAAGAGGGAAAATTCAAAAGGTGGGGTTGAGATGGGAAATTGGTGTCCGAGTGGATCGAAGTCACGATAGCTTAAGTGGAAGAGTAGCGGCGTATTTAGCCGAAGGTCGTGGGTTCGAATCCCGCTCGTGACACTGACTATTTTATCTCAACTAAAAACCTTAATTAAAAATTATCATTTTTAGCGGACAACACGTGTATATAATATTGAAACAGCATGAACGGCCAATTAAATAAAATTGCAAAAAGAAATACATTTTTCAACAAGATAATTTTATTTCTGAAACTCCAAAAATAAACTTAAACAAATAAAAATTCCTAGTCATGTGGCAATGATATGATGATTTCTCAGATGAATATCAACCACCATTATAAACGATGCCGAGCGATTTAATCAAGTCAATTGAAATTCCGTTAAAGGTCACTTCGTAGCTTTAATGGTTAAATTTTAACTCGGAAATTAAAAGATAATCGAATTCTGATATTAATTTATGATGAGGCTCTGGTTTGTAATCACCTTCAACAAATTTTCACCAAACCCTCTTCAACAATATAAAAATATAATAAAATAAACTTATAACAAAATGTTGAATTGCATTGGTTTGCTTGGGTTTGTTAATAGTGTATATTATTTTCTTTTAAATCCAGCAAGTTGTTACAATTTTATGTATAGCAAAACTGTACATAGAAAATAGTTGTTAATTATATAAATTAATAGAAATAACAGCCCAACAGAGCATAATTTCGTTAGAACCTTTTATATAATCAAGTTCAGACTTAATCCATTTAAATTTAAACTTGATAACTGAAGTTCATTAATAAGAGATGTGCCCTGGACATGAGATCAATTTCTTTAGCTATTCTTTTAATCAAGAAATTGATGCGCAAAACACAATTACGTAATGGTCATTACATTTATATGATTAGTAATATGCTTCATTCCAAATAATATAATACTCAACTTTTCGATTACCTTTATAAGCAACTGTTAAAAGTAATGAAGTAAACCGTAAGAGTTAAATTTTTAAATAAAATGAATGAAAAAATAATCTACTAGAAATGTTTGGGTCAGGTAAACATAACTAAATTTTCGTTATTTATTCGGAAAAATCCCCTTGAGTAAATTTATTATGTTATTATAAAAAATAAAAGTTTAAAATACAAAACTTTATCGCGATTTATATCAAGGGATATAATCCCCCCCCAAACGATATGTTATGTAACGGTAAAATGGAGGAACAATGTTAGACAGTGGTTTCATTAATTTTAAACTATTTTCAAGGATTTATTATAACCAAAGGAGGATTAAAAATTGTATCGGCCCACAATTAAGGTTTGGTAAATAGGGAGTCGGACACAGGTGGTTGCCCTACATTCTATCTTTTCAGTTTATATAAATAAAAAAAAATTGTCTGTTTATAAAAGAATAAAGAAATGAATGTTTCCCATAGGGAATTCATTCAAGAAAACTTTAAATTTTAAACCGTATAAATTAATAACAATTGTGTTAATTAAAAAAAAAATACTATGATACTTACATACGAATAGTCTAAATCCGTCTTTGGACCAGTGTCAAGTTTACTTGGTTGAGGGTAAACCGTTCTGGCGTCGGGTTTAAAATACTACCGGCCAAAATCGTTGGAATTTTCAGCCCAAAAACGTCCAACTTTCAACTTGTTTACAAGGGCTGGAAAAAGGGGCGAAACGCAATGGCTGTAGCCTGGTGGCGAACTGGGCTAAACCCAGGTCCGATTCGCCGCCCCCACTCGCTATGCTGCCAACATAACATCCCGTCAGCCCCCCTTCACTTGGGAGAATTCAATTTCAATGTATAATTGCCCTTCTACGTTATAAGTGTGTTTAATACACATCAATTTCGTGAGAATAATTGGCCACCATATACGCTGGGTATATGATTTTTGCAATTCCGACAACTGTTCTGTACAATTAAGTTTTATGTAAAAACATTGGAACACAAGAAAATCCATTTTGAACAACTACAAACGTTGTTAGCCAATCAATTCAAATGCTCTGAGACATTAAATTTTTTAATTATATAAAAAAACACTATTAACTATAAATTTACTCTAAAGCATCTTTCGCTTTGTAAACCTTTATTCAATACAAATTGTTACGTAATGAACAATAATTTTCTTTACATAAGAAAATTATTTATGCGCTGGTACGACGAAATAAATAATGAAATAATGAAGCTATCAGTCATCAATCATTAAAAAATTATAAGCCATCTCTAACTAATAATGTACAATGTACGCTTAAACTTTTAGAAAAAGTATGAACTAACAAGAAAATAGACCTCACACGTAAACCAAATTATGCGCGAATCACTGTTTTAATATTCTGTACTAATTCATTGTCGATTGGTTATTTCTGTTATTTGTTATATTTAAAATTTTGCCTTAAAGCCTGATATCAGGACAAACGCATGCGCGCTCTCACACATCAGTCGAAGGATTTTATTGTTCATTGAGTAACAGGAACTTCTGGCCCGACAGGCGTGAAAAGAAAAGATAAAGGCGAGAATAATAAAGAAAAAGACAATGACGACTACCGTATCATTTTTCTATTAATTAGTTTCAATTAGAAATCAAGTTATTCTTTTTTATAGATTTTATGGTGTAAAAGTTGGTCCCTCGGTTGTTATTTATAAAAAATAAGGATAGGCGATAAATGGAGTTTCTCGGGGTAAATGTGATCCTGGACGATCCCGTAATAAATTTTCCTTTGCGGGCCAACGTTTTATTTGTTGTGCAAAGGCGAGGAAAGTTAATTTCTTTCCTTTGGGAGGCGAAAGGAGGAAAACCGATCAAAATGATCAAAATAAACCGTGGAAAACCTCAAATTACGTTGCAAAACAGGCCGGGCGAAGCCGGGAATCGAACCGAAATCTAAATTTCACCCGTAAAAAGCACAGTTTAATTCCGTTTTGTAGATATGAGAAAGCGTTGTCGATAAACTGTAACGTGTCTGGCATTTGGCAAATATGATTTCACGTTTGATAAACCGAGAAGTCAATAAGTCGATACGCAGATATGGGCAGTTCCAGGAAATGGCCAAAATAGTTACTATTTCATGTCTGACGATGATTAAAACAGAATATTTATAAATTCGCCGATTAATTGGAATCCTGGTGTTAACATTTACTTTTATTTCATACTTAAATCGTATATTAAATAATAAAAGAAATTTCAAAATATTAATCTTAAAAAAACAATTTATGATAACATTTATTTAATATTTACGATAATACCTTCTGTATAGTGTCAAAAACGTTAATGTAAAGGTGAAATATTTTTTTTAAAAGTCTGTTCGAACCAATAAACAACATTTTTAACGTGCGGGTTCGAAATGTCATAGCCGCAAACAAAATACCACACGAATCCACTTGGGAAAAGTGGCTTAAATCTCTGTTGTACGGATAAATGTAGAGTTTTGTGGCGGTGGGTGGGCTGTGGGGCCACCCAGGGCTCCGGGGAAGCGAAATGTCAAAGGTAAACCTTCTCTAGGACTACCCCCCACTCGCAGGATTCGATAATTGTGTTTGGATGAGAAGGAAGATATAGATAGGAAGCAGGGGCTATTTTAATTCCCCGTATTTTTTACACATTCCGAAAAACGGGGAGAGAAAATCAAAACGTATGTTCCTACCCCGGTGAACAATGCAGTCAAGCGGTACGTGACATCTGTCAAAGATAGGGGGCTACATCAGCCTCTTTCATTTACGCAAAACATGAGTTCTCATCGCTGACCCCCTCACGCAACAGACGTTCGAATCTTGTTCGCATTTGTACATTTTTTAAACACTGTTCGAGAAAAAAAACATACTTGGCCGAATGCAAAAAATAATCCTGACCTAAAAAACTTATGCCTACGTATTTATTTGGTAAATAATAAAAAGAGAGAGAGAGAGAGAGAGAGAGAGAATGAGTGAATGGGGGAGAGGGGGAGAGAAAGAGAGAATGAGTGAATGGGGGAGAGGGAGAGAGAGAGAATGAGTGAATGGGAGAGAGAGAAAGAGAGAGAGAAAGTTTATGCTAATGTGCTAATGACGTCTTTTATTAGAATATTTTAAGAAGAATCAGTAGAAAGAGAGAACCAGTGACGGAAAGAACAAAGAGAAAGAATGATATGAGAGAGAGAGAGAGAGAGAGAGAGAGAGAGAGAGAGAGAGAGAAGGGAAAGAAGAGAGAGATTTTTCTTAATAATTCACTGTGGATTTTTTAAAATCTAGTATAATAAATACAAATAATAAATACAATACATACACTACAGAGCAAGAATATGTATTAGAAAAACATAGGTATACATTTATCTGACTTCGCGTTTGTTTACGTCGTATGTGAAATTTCGGGTAAATCCTATAGCATAAATTGCCTAAACGTTAACAGTTTCCTCGTAGGTCGCTGTAAATTCTCCTCCTTGTATTTATAAACGTAATCCACGGTTTTGGCAACATCGCAATTTAGCCGTTGTACGAAAGAAAATTGTGATTTAACATCTCCCTTCCTCGCAGTCTACTATCCAATCAAATAACATGCTACATAAACAACAAAATCGTCTATTTGTATAAACTTTCATCGAGGATGTTGTTTTAATAAACCTCATCAATAAACGGCTGTAAAACAAAAAAATATCCAACAACAACGCTTATTTCTAACCAGTTAAAAAAATTACAAAACTGTCAGTGAATGAATATGCATTATATTTTAATTAATTGATTAAACTTTCTCAATATCAATCAATTCGAACTGTAGTAAGTATTAATATTCGTACATAACATTTATTAATTTACTATCCTTGTCAATTTTTTTAAACATACTTTTGTTTTAAAAAAAAATATACATAAATATANGTAAATGTAAAGAAACTAACTCTAAAGAATCATAGTCCACATGACACAATCATTGTCCGGTCACTCCAGTCGAAAATAATAAAAAATACAATAAAATAAGTAATTTAAGTCGTAAGATCTAATAAAACCGGTGCTAAATCAAAACACCGATATAAAAAAATAATGAAAAATCCGTTTTACTTATTTGTTTAAACTATGAAACGATATTTACAAATAATGATAAATTGGGATATTTTCGCTAATTGAAAATAAATAAAAAATTAAACATTAGATAATTGAAAAACTACAAATTATAAATATATAATCAGTTGTAAAACTAATGTAACATAAATAATACATTGAACATCTCAACTTATGTACTCCAAAGTGTAATATATGATTAACAAATTATAATTGACATTCTTTAAATCCGTAGTATTCATATTCAAATAACTGAAAAATTTACCACAATTTTAAACAAATTATTAATTCGATAAAAATGGTTAAATAATTAAAACTAATATTAACACTCGTCTATAGGCATCCTACAGGGCGCGAGTAGGTATGTCGCCAGATTTAAAGAGCGTTCTCGGACACAGCAGCGAGTTTCAGGGTCCCCTATTCCGCTTTTTAAGGGAATTGGGAATTTTTTTATTGTATATAGAAGTTATGTGTTTTGTGTTTCTGTGTCTTGTATGAGTGAATATATTTATTGGTGTGAATGGGGAGGGGCTGATGGCGAAGTAGCTTCTCCATCGCCTCTCAGCTTGTGTAAAAAATACCCCATCGACTCTAATTAAGATTAGTTTATTGTAGGGAACAGGTAGATGGAGGAATATCGAGTACTGTATCTACTAAACGAAATAAGTGCGATCAATGTATGTTGGTATGAATGTATTTATTGGTAATTATTCAGAAATCGTGAGATGCGGTCTGGTGTGATGATTATCGAAAAATCAGACAACTTCCAATTGCTGCAAAACATGAGAACAAAACCTTGGTAGTTTGATACTTTTGCAATCTCCTCCACGTGCCATAAAGAAACCACAAAATCCAAGCCCTGAGGTGAAAACTTTCAAATTTTCTTTTCAATTTAATAACAATTGAAAAAATTTAGAGTTTCCTTAGCAATAATGTGTGGTGTTTAGTGACTTAGTTATTTGGGGATCGTGAGATGCAGTCTGGTATAACGTAGGTTTCAGAAAAACAGGTAGGTATGAATGTATTTATTGTGTGATTGTGTATTTTGTTAGTGCTTCGGGGCTGCCAAACAAAAAAAAACATTCGTCTATACCTTAAAGGCTTTATTTGGTCTTTTATTTAAAGTTCTAAGTTACTTTTGCATGTATTTCTTCTGATATTAAAAATGTTAAAAATTAAAGGCCTACAAATCTATTCCATAGCGACCTTTTTATACAAAATACTACGAACAAAAAACCTTTCTTACATGTTTCATAATTTTAATTTTAATTCAATATCCTTAACATTAATACCAGAACAGCTAATTACTTAATTCATCTACCAAAACACGGAACAAAAACACATAGCAATTCATTTAAAATAAAAGCTTGTAAAATCTTTAACTCAATACCGAAACATATAGTTCAAATAGAAAGCATAAAATCATTTAAAGTAAAACTTAAAGAATACTTATTAAGTAAATATGCTGAATATAATACTACAGATTAGCATTTCCCTTATTTAATAGTTTCGTAGTTAACATCACATCATATATGTACTTTTATACTTTTATTTATTACTTTATTATTATCTTTTTTATTATATACTTTTAAATTAACTTGTAAAACGTTAATAATCATTTTACTTAATTTGTAAATCGTAAAATTATGTTTCAATTCTAGAAAGTTCTAATCTGGTTTTTAAGAATCTTACGAAAAATCTATATCTAATTTTGTTACTCAACAAAATATGCTCTGTACAAAAATATAACTTATAAGTT